AGTAATAGTGATAGGGGAAATAAGAATACTCTAGTAATAGGAGTCGTCGTCGGCGGAACAAGGATAATGCGCCTCGAGGAGCAGCACGCAGAGCTGCACCGACAACGGAAATACTAATAGTAGCAGTAGTAGTAGTAGGCGTACTAGCGCGCCTCGAGGAGCAGCACGGAGAGGTGCAGCACCGCCGCCGGCGCCGTCTCGACAGCCAACTGCTCGCGGTATCCCGCGCGCGCGCGGTCGAGCGCCGCGCGCTCTCGCTTCTTGTCAAGCCGCGGGCTCTGGTCGCCGAGCGCGCCGTCCATCGCCCACATCGCCTCCAGAAACGCGTCCGCGCCGGACCCCTTGGCGCCGACGGCCGCCTCTGCGCTGGCCGCCGCCTCCGCCGCCGCCGCCGAACAGCGGGCGGCCGAGAGCAGCTCCTTGCGGCTCGCCACGCCGCCCTCCTCGCCGAGCTCCTCGGCACGCGCGGCGTCGAGGCCGCGGTGGAGCGCCTCGCACTGCAGCAGCGCCGTCAGCCAGTCGGCGCACGGACCCTTGAGCGTCGCCCGCTCGAGCGCCTAGCCCCACCACCCACCAGCTTTATATGGGGAGATATGGGGAGATGCGGGGAGATGCGGGGGAGATACGCGAGATGCGGCGAGACACGGAAGCGAGAGGGAGAGAACTGTACCGCGGCTGCGCCTCGCCTGCACCTCGGCTGTACCTCGGCTGTACCTCGGCTGTATCTCGGCTAGATCTCGCCTCCCCGTCTTTGGCAGCGACGCCCTCGGAGCAGCGCACCGCCGGCAGCGCGCGGCATGCGAGCTGCGCAGTGGTCGCTGCGTGCGCCAGCCGCTCCTGCGCCGCCTGCACCGCCCGCCGCCGCTCAGCGCCTCCTCCACGCCCGCCTCGGCGGCGGAGACGAGGGCGGGGGACATGTAGCAGCTGTCCAGCTGCACGCCTGCGGTAATGAGGGGGGGGGGAGGGGGAGGAGTTGGTCGGGGGACGGACGGGCGACACGCAGGTATCGCTGCTGCTTCGAGGTGGAGGTGTAGGTGTGTATAGCCACCGGCTGACTACTCTACCGTCTCTCGACCGAGTGGTGTGTACGAGTGTGCAGCTGTCCAGCTGCACGCCTCCCGGGTGCTCTGCGGCGAGGTGCGCGCGCGGGTCACGCACCTGCGGCACGAGGAGGGCGGTGAGTGCCCCTAGCCAAGAGACCACCGAGGTATCGCCGAGGTATCGCCGAGGTATCGCCGAGGTATCGCCGAGGTATCGCCGAGGTATCGCCGAGGTATCGCCGAGGTATCGCCGAGGTATCGCCGAGGTATCGCCGAAAGATCGCCGAGAGATAGCCGAGAGATAGCCGAGATACGGCCGAGGAGACGGCGACTCCGCACCCCCATCCTAGCCAGCGCCGCGTACCTACGTGCTGAGTACGCCAACCTCGGGGCGGGAGATATGGGGAGATATGGGGAGATATGGGCAGCCTACGTGCTGAGTACGCCAGCCTCGGGGCGGGAGGACGGTCTTGTGCAGCGTCTTCAGAGCTCCGCGTGAATGCAACGGACAGGAAGACAGTGAATACAGCTGAAGACGGATGAAGACAGCGGAGTACGTGTCCTCCCGAGCGCTGGTTGGGAGACAAGAATCCGTATTCCGCTTCTAGCGCCGCGTACTCCACGACGCCGTTCTGCTCATACCTAAGGTAGGGACCAACTCGCTCTTAGCTACACGGACTCAGGGACGACGCAGACACGACCGCGCCGCTCTCTTCGCGCGCCTCGCGCCCACCGCCGCCGCCTGCGCCAGCCGGTGCACCGCCGGCGTAAACGAGGTCTTCGCCTGCAGCGTGCCAGCCAGCCGGCCGGCGGCGTGCAAGCCTCCCACCGCCTCGTAGAAGAGGGCCTCGTTGAAGCCGTGCGCCTGGGCACGCGCGTGGGTGGGTGGGTGGGTGGGTGGGTGGGGGGGTGGGTGTGTGCGTGTGTGTGTGTGTGTGTGTGTGTGTGTGTGTGTGTGTGTGTGGGTCGGTGGTTGGCTGGGTGGCTGGGTGGGGGGGAGAGGCGCTCACTAGCTAGGGAAATGTGAGATGTTGTGGAGGTGTCTGAGAATGGGTCGGCGAGGTGTCAGCGAGGTGTCTGGGGACATGTCTGGGGAAGTGTCTTTTGCGCGCCTTGAGCAGCGCGGGGAGCGAGGCGGGCCCGTGAAGCGCGGAGAGGACGCCGCGCACGCGCGCCAGGTGCCGAGCGACGTAGCTGGCGGTGAAGAGACTTCCGCCTAAGGTAAGGTGAGGTACGGTAAGGTGAGGTAAACTTCTCCACACACACGAGGCGGTGGGGCAAGGGCCAGGCTAGTCCCTCGCGTCTCCACGTCTAGACGACAGGAGCCCCGCGGCATTAAAGTGCAAGGCCCGGGAAACAGTGAAGACCGCGGAACGCAGTCGAGTGCAGTGGAGTGCAGCGGAAGGCCTGCTCCCTTCAAAGCCGGCTGGAGTGCGTGCACCACACACGAGGAGGAGTGTTTCCGCTTCTAGCGGCTTCCGCCCGACAGCTTTGCGTGGATGAGAGCGCCGATCCGCGACTCCACCACCTGATATCCCCCGAGATCAGCCGATCTCAGCCGAGATGGACCGAGATTGCATCTCGCGCGCGGGAGATGCCCCACCGACGTCACAAAGTCGGTCGAGAGGGCGTGAGCGACTGCGACCTCGGCGAGGGTGAGCCGGCCGACGCCGCGGAGCGCGGTGTCGATCTCCTCGGCCAGGCTGTCGAGGTAGTACTCCGTCAGCACCTCCCCGCCCACGCGCTGCAGGCCGTCGCGGCCGGCGGCCAGCAGCTGCGTCACGGCGCGCTCGATGTGAGGGAGGTCGACGTTGAGGAGGGCGGGCAGGTCGGCGACGTTGACGCGGCCGCCGTGCGAGAGGATCTCGTCCCCCACCTCGCGCAGCAGCTGCTCCGGCGTCAGGTACTCCTTGCCGTTGGTCGTGAAGAGCACGTCGACCAGCCGCAGCTGCGAGAGCGTGCTCACAATCTCGACGATGTTGGGCTCCGAGAGCTTGAAGGCAGTCGGCGCCTCCTGCACGCGCGCCAGCTCGGCCTGCAGCGCGAGAATCTCGTCCATGGCGGCGTGGTCGACGGACCCTGTCGCGTCCTCGACGCCACGCAGGCAGCTATCGAGGCTCCACCGAGGCAAATGCCCGGCTCGGTGCGCCCCAAAAAGAAATCGGATGCGCCCTGTTGGCTCTTCCCAACATACCCGAGGGTTTATATACGGGGAGGGTGAACTAAACGGAGGGTGACGTAACGTCGTTCGGCGCACAGTCGCAGCCGAGTATTTACACATGCATTTGCAGCATCTCCACACCGCGATCCTCGCTTCGCTCTTTCTGTCGGCAGACAGCTTCTCGTCGCACCCGCCTCTCCTTGGAGTGCAGTCGCACTCCCTCTCAACACACTGCGCCCGCTCATCCGGCCCTGATGCGCACGGCGGCTGCATCGGCGAGTACGGTGAGTGCCTCAACAGGCAGGACCAGGGCCACAACATAACTTGTATCGGCACAGCTGATGATGGCGCCGTCTGGAGCTGGGGCGATAGAAGCTTTGGCAAGAACTGGGCCACGGCGACGAGCAGAACCAGCTGCTGCCGAAGAAGGTCGAGGCCTTTGCTGGGCGGCGCGTCGTCGCCGTGTCGGCTGGAGGCAGCTACAGCCTCGCCCTCACCGCCGACGACGCACGCCGTCTGGAGCTGGGGCAGGGGCGAACACGGCTGCCTAGGTCACGGCGAGGACCTTTCGAACCAGCTGCTGCCCAAGAAGATTGAGGCATGAGGGGCTCCCCTTCTTCTTGCGCTGTGCTCTTTGGTTTTGAGTGCTGTACGAACAACCCTACCCGCAACCGGAGCCCGAACCCAGTTGTCGAAACAGGGCGGAAGAGGCGGAGGAGGCGGCTGCGAGGAGCGTGGCGCGCGATGCCCAGCGAAGAGAACTCTGCCTCGAAGAACTGGGAGCGGTATGTGGGCATCCTCGTGGGGCAGGGGCGAACCATCTTTGGCGCAGCCGTGCTGCCCATCGCGCCCGACCAACCGACGCTCCGCAAGTGCGCCCACCACGCACATGAGCCCGACACGCCCACGCTCTGTCGGCAACACCGGCTGCGCTGGCAAGGCGGGCTAGGGAGCGCCGTGTGACGCGCGACGGCGCGCCCTCAGGTCTGCGATCCTGGCGCAAAAGGGCATCTCGATGCGCGTGCCCGAGGTGACGGCGCTGGTCGAGGCGGTGATGGCGGGGCGCGTACACCAGGACTATGTCCAGGCGCACAGCCACACTGCCAGACTGCCACACTGTCGCACCGTCCCGCCCACCCACCACTGCCCACCCTGCCCACCCACACTGCCCACCCACACTGCCCGCACAGCCACACTGCACACCTCACGATGCACAGCACGCGCTGGGCACACCCACACTGCCCACACCACCGCCTTGCTTCCGGCCACCAGTACCTCATATCTCCCCATATCTCTCCCCATCTCTCCCCATATCTTGCGTCAGGCTGGCCACCAGTACCTCATATCTCCCCATATCTCTCCCCATCCCTCCCCATATCTTGCTTCAGGCTGCCGGCCACCAGTACCTCATCACCACGGTCGACGAGATTCGCCGAGATTCGCCGAGATTCGCCGAGACTCGCCGAGACTCGCCGAGATTCGCCGAGCCCACCGCGGTCAACGAGCTCCTCCTCCTGTGGCCGCTCAATGCACCAGTCAGCTCACGACTCGGGATCCGCGCAATGAATGCATCGTAAACTAGGTCAACGAGTCCTCCTTCTACGGCCGCTGCACCTCCACCGCCACCGCCGCGGGCATGTCTCACACCGTCGAGGCGCCCCCCCCGTGCCTCGTGCCCCATCGATTGAGTGTCGGCGGGCACCCTTTAGGCATCCTCCTCCTCAAGATGGGTTCTTCTCCTTCTTCTTATTGTCATTAGGCATTATTATCATTATTAGGCATCATCCTGCTCAAGATGGGCCCCTTCCTCGTCCTGGCCGTCTACACGGAGCCGACCTGCGCAACGGAGGCGACACACACACACACACACACACACACACACACACACACACACACACACACACACACACACACACACACACACACACACACACACACACACACACACACACACACACACACACACACACACACACACACACACAAACACACACACACACTGGGCCTTGCACTTTTAATCCCGTGGGGCTCCTGTCGTCCAGACGTGGAGACTCGAGGGTTGCCCCCCCTTGCCCCACCACCATCCTTGTGTGTGTGGAGAAGTGTACCTTACCTTACTTACCTTAGGCCATCCCCTACGTCCACCGCTCCGTCGACGACCTCGCCGCCGCCATGTCGATGCAGCCGCCCGGTGTGTGAGGAGAGCGCGGGCGTGCGTGAGGCGTCTTTGTAGGGCTACGGTAGAGGTAAGTAGTAAGGTACTTTCTGGGTATTTTTTTCTCGCTCCACACACAAAGTGGTGGCTGGTGGCAGGTGGGGTGCACACAAGTGGGGGCGACCCGCCCGACCCTCGCACACACACACACCGCTCACCCACGCGCACCGGGCCTTGCACTTTAAATGCCGTGGGGCTCCTGTCGTTAGACGTGGAGACGCGAGGGTTGCCCCCCCTTGCCCCACCACCTTGTGTGTGTGGAGAAGTTTACCTTTACCTTACCTTACGACCCTCGCATCTCCACGCAGGACCCCCGGACACCCGGAGACGGGCGCGGCAGGTGAGCCCCCCAGCCCCGCCACACCGCACATTGGGCCAGGTGCCAATTTTTCAAAATCTGCAGGCGCGGAGCGCCTGCGAAAATGGTGAAGAAATTTGCAGTCGGGCCTGATTTTCATCAAGATCTTTCAAATTTGCGGTGTGGAGTTGGGGAGTGGGTTAGGTTAGGGTTATTATAGGGTTAGAGGGTTAGGGTTAGGGTTAGAGTTAGGGTTAGGGTCAGGGTTAGTCTTGTTGTGTCTGTATATGCCAGCGTTGCAGGGTTCTGCGCTGGGATCTGGCCCCACAGCGCCGACGACTAAGACTCAGCCCCGCACGCTGACCTACTATTGACATTCAGAGAGAGACGTTCCAAAGTTCCCAGGAGATTTTCCCGTTTGACACAGGATCGCGAAAACGTTCACACAGATGGTTCGCCTTCCTATCAATCAAGCAATGGTTGTAGGTGCGTGCTGGGAGGGCGGAGTGGCTCGGACGCTAAGATGAAATAGTCTTACTTAGTCAATAGGTTGATGAGAGAGATTTTAGAAAAACAACAACAAGAAATCACGACTCTCACAGTGATTTCGGCTCGGCAGCTTGTCAGCCCTCAGCCGAAGCTGGGGCCGGTCCCGTAGCCGAGAGAGCCCGCGCCGATGAGTTCGACGCGGTCGGGGGGGGGCCTGCGGAGAGGCCAGCGAGGTGGCGATCGCTGTACTTCATGGCGCCCTCAAAGTGGGGCTGGCTGACTCGCCAGAGGTCGATACTCTGGACGACCCATAGGATGCCACGAATGCCTAGGGGCCAGCCACGCCACGCGCGGCCACGCGCATCGCACGAGCCAACCGCCGCGCCCGAAGCACAGCAGCGAGGTCAGCTTCGTAAACAACGCCGAGGGGGCAAAGCTGAATCTCGCCGGGCATGCCACAGCGGCCGCGGGCGAGCGGGGCGTGTGCGCGCCACGCGCCGCCGCTTCGGCCGGATCACACGAGCCCCTCCCCCGCGGATCGTTGCAGGAGAGCGGGTCGGCGTTAAGATGCTCGGTGAGAAGATGCTCTCGGTCCTCGCCAAAAGTTTGTCTGACTCGGCGTCCGGCCCCGGGCGTCGGGCCGTGGCGGCGACAGCAGGCGTGCTCCAGCGCCGCCCCGAGCGTGCGCGCGCACGCGCAGCGGCGGCGCCTCCGCACCACCCGAGCCGCCGCCCGGCCGAGCGAGGAGCAGGGAGACGAGCAGGGACATGCTGATTCGGCAATCAGAGAGTCTTTTTTTCTAGGTTGATTGACATGCATGTGTGTGTGTGTGTGTGGCTGGATGACTGAGAACTCGGGCGGGCGTGGGAAGAAAGACTCGGGAGCTCCAGCCATGAGCGTGGCGCTCTTGCGTCTTGGGAAGAGGTTGCGGCAGACTACCATCCTGGGGAAGGTGCCCGTTTTTATTTTATTTATCGATATCCGCGTCGAGCAGTCGAGCAGATCTCTCACTCGCCACGGGGACACGACCCCCACACCCCGTGTCCGTGTCCCCGTCAAAAAATTGTTCCAGTCTTAGCCAGCAAAAGGGAGCACACACGACTTAGCAAGTCCGCACTAGCGATTGCCACTCGCCTAACCATGCCTTGTCACAAGTGCTCTCCCAATCGCGTACAGGCACACACACTCCGCCTGTTCTCACCCAAACACTCTATCACACCCTCCTAATGCGGCAACTGAGCCCGCAAGGGTGGGTCACTAAGGGGGAGGTTACGTTGGTTGATATGTTGTGTTGTGGCGTAAAGCTGTGCAGCGGCGCAGCGAGCCCTGCCGCGGCTAGTCGTCGAGACTGGTCGGTGGGTGGTGCCTGTAACAGCTGAGGCAGGGAGACTGGCCTGTGAGTAGCGCAGCCGCGCGGTCGCCCGAGGAGTTGGGATGATAGGTGGAGAGACAGGTGCGACCGTACCTGGGTATGGCGCAGGCTGGTGGCTAGGGTTAGCTGGGCGCGCACGGCGAGTCCAGTCACATTGCCGCCCCGCAACAGCGATGTGAGTGGTCTCTCAGTGCGCGCTCTGCGTCCCTAGAACGTGGCGTGGCGTTGATGCTGAAGCGATAAAATGGTACTATATCAGGCAGTGAAGCATTAGTCGTCAATTCTGCAAGCCGGCTTGCAAAGCCGTTCGGAGCGCCTGATTCGAGCGAGTGGAGGCAGGTTCGAGACCTGGTGGGGGGGTTTGGGGGGGTCGCCCGTCGCCCATCGGACCATCAAGGGATCCATCAAATCCATCGAATCTGTCGACATCTGTCGACAGCTGGCGCGGCTCACGCCGGCCGCTGCGCCAGAATTTTTTTTGTGCTGAGCACAGGGTTGGTTGTGCCGGGCCGCCCCCGCGAGAGAAACTCGTCAGTAAAACTCTCGGGCGGCCCGGCTGTCTGAGGCTGGCACGCAATGGCAAAAGCCCGCGGCTCGTCGCCAAGGAGTTACGAAGTTTTTATGTCCGTGTCCCCGTCATAGCGGCGAGGCGCGGGACCGTCTGTGGACTGTGGCGAAGTGGGTCGCGTCCTTAGATTTCCTCAACTCAGCCACACCCTCTCACTGCCGGTACCGCTCTACCTCTCTAGCTCGCTCACTCACGGAACGCGCGGCGCGGGCGGCGCGGCGAGCGGGGTGAGTCCGAGCGGCCGCGCGAGCGCGAGCGGCGGCGGCGGTCTCGGTCGCGCGACTGGGATCGGCGGCGGCCCTCGCCGCCGCGCTCCCGGTCGTACTCGAAGCGGCCGCCGTAGAGTTCCGCGTGGCGGTCCGAGTGACGGTCGTCGTAGCGACCGCGGCGCCGGCTCTCGTAGTCTCGCTCGAGGTCGGCCTCGCGCGCGGGACGGCCGTCGTGCCTGCCGCCGCCGCCGTAGCGGTCGGCGGGGCGCTCCGCGTGTCGCTCCTCGTGGCTCTCGCGCCGCCCGCTGTCGTACCGCCCAGCAGTCACCTCGGAGCGGTGCCAGCTCCCCTCTGGCGTCATGGACATGCCCTCGCGCGGGTGGTCGCCGTTCCACGCGGCGGGGTGGCACGCGAGGTCTCGCAGCGCCGCCAGCACCGGGTGGGGAGGCTTGGGCGCCGCTCCTCGCTGCGGCCGTTCGCCCGACGGGTTGACGCGCAACGCCCGGTCTCCGAAGCGTAGGCCGTCGAAGAGCGCGATCGCGTAGAGGGCCGACGCCTCGTCCGCGTAGTCGGCGAACCCGATGCCGCGGTGCCCCTCGCCGGAGAGGTCCTTGGGCAGCCGCGCCTCGCCCACGAGCGGTCCTGCCTGCACGAGGAGCTCTGTCAGCAGCTCGGCCGTTGCCGCCGCCGGGAGGTTGCCGATGAAGACGCCCGTGGTCGGCTCGGCGGCGGGCGCGGGCGCGGGCTCGGCGGCGGGAGCGGGAGGGAGGGAGGGCGCGCCGAGGAATCGCGGGGGCGACATGTGTGTAAAAAACAAATCTTACCCAGTGGTCTTCGCCCGGAGCTGCTTCTTGGCGATGGCGGCGAAAAGAGCCACCTTCCCCCTCCACCGACCACCCCCTCCCCCCCCCCGCCCGCAAGGCGCGCGATACACACAAATCTAAACCCGCTGCCACCCGCACCGCGCACGCACCAGGGTTGTCAGGGCTCTCTTGCTCGTAGCCCGATACCGCGATCATCCGGCCCGCTGGTGCGCTTCTATCGCTCCCTGGCCCTGGATGTCCGCACTCCAAAGACCGTGCACTCTCCAAAAAAGTGCCCCTCTGCTTAGCCCCCGCTCGGCCCCTGCCCCTGTCTTCGTCCGCATACCGAGTTACCGCAATCTGTGTTGGAGTGTCCAGTCCGAACGCAACCTGCTGTTTTATTAATGGCTGTTCTTCACCTTCGATACATACATACAGCGGCCCTTGGCACCTCGGCGCTCCGGTGCTCTGGGGGACGGGAACCTGAGCAGTAAACCGCGCAATGAGGCCGCGCCGGCGCCCGCCCGGCCTCTACGTTGTACAAAGCGCCTGCGCCGGCCGCTCACATGACGGAGCACGGCACGAACTCAACCTCGAGTTTGATGATGCCCTTGCCCGAGACGCAGCAGCGGCACATTCCGACGCCAAAGATGTCTGGCACGTCGTCGTCGTCCTCCCACTCTTCCGCGAGGTGGATGCAGGTGACGGTGCCTACGGCATGGGCACGCCCACGACATGTCATGGGCCGCGTCCCCGACATGTCCGCCACGAAGGTGCGAGGTGCGGCGCCGTGTTTTCGGTTGGGGCCGATGGCGACGCCGAGGCCGGTGAAGAAGGGGTCAAAGGCGACGGGCAGCTTGTCCTCGTCGAGCAGCAGCTCGGCGATCACCTGCTCGCACCGCCCGCCGTGTAACAGGCGCCGCTCACAGCCCGAGGCGGAGCCAGCAGCAGCTCGGCGGTCGCCGCAGTCGCGTTGGCGACAACGTCCCGCATCTCGTCCATCTGGTCGGTCCTGCCCCCGCGGCCGAGGCAGTGCAGGTACGGCTTCTCGCCGAGTCTCTCGTCCGGCTCCTCCTCGACATAGCCCAGCCGCGCCACCTTCTTCATCGCCTCGCCTGTCAGCTCCCCCCGAGGCGTGATTTCTTTTCTATTCTTCGGCGTAGTCCTTCCTCATCGCCTCGCCTGTCAGCTCGCCAGAGATGGCAGCAAAGGGCGGCACCGCTTGCCTCGCTCTCAGCCGTGCGGCGGCCGCCGGCGGCAAGCCTACGGTGACAGGAAGGGCTCGCGGAGCTCTCCCCCCACCCCTGCGATGAGCCTCCGCTGCTCTGCGGTGAGCGCGCGCCGGGCGTCGTGTCGGCGTAGCCTTGCGGGTCGGCGCGCGCGGCGTTGTACTGGTAAAAGATCTCGTGGCGCAGCGCCTCAATAAACTCCTCCATCTGCAGCCGCTTCTTGCTCAGGTAGTCTGGCCGTGGAGGCGGCCCACCCGGAGCCGGAACATCGCCACGCCCTTGCAGGCAGCTCTTCAGCCGCTCGCACGTCCGCTTGAGGCCCTGCCAGTCGAGCGAGGGCAGCTCGACGCCAAAGTTCTTGCCGCCGCTACTCGAGGGTCCGGCGGTTCCGCCGAAGGAGATCATCGGAGCGGGCCCAGCTTCAGGTGGACCAGCGGCAAGGCGGTGCACCGCGCCTCCGGGCCAAAGTAGGCGCATCGCAAAAAGAATTCATCCAGCGAAATTTGCAGGGCGCACTGGCACTATGGGATAATAAGATGAGATTACCAGACGAGAACGGGGGGAAGGACAGGCGGGCGACATTTGACGACGTCGGGGATCACAATGTGACGACCAAAACGATCTTGGGGGCCAGGCGAGACAAACAACAGGTCGGGGTGCCACATGGGGCACACCACAGGCGTATTCTAGAGGGGGAAAAGAAACGGGGAATGAGGGGCCCCGCCACGAGAAGTGCGTTCTGGGGATGCAGAGCGTGCAAAGCGGCTAGGGATGAGGTCGCAAAAGAGCGACAAAACACAAACAACAATCTCTCTCTCTCTCTCTCTCTCAAAAGAGGCGCGCGAGGCAAGGAGGAGACGCGGGGAAAAGACTGGGACGACTGGAAACAAGAAGACAGTGAGCCACCACAGGCGTCGTTGGCGCACATACTGAGCGGCAGCTGCGCTGGAAATAAGGAAGAGGCGCGTCACTTCATGCGGAAGCTCGATGAACACACAGCGAGGGCGACAGCAAGAGTTCAACGGGAGGCGCCGGACTCAAAAGACACCGCCACATTCCTGAGACGAGCGAGGGCAGCCTCCTTAAAGGCGAAAGGGTCTAGATTTGGGGCGCTCGCCGAAGAGGAGTACGACAAAATAGCACCCGTGATTGCCTGCACGCTACCCGCACTCACGGACTCCATACCCGAAAGAAAGAGAAGGGAGCTCGCGGGAGAGGTGACGAGTGAACTACAGGTAGTGGGGAAGGCAGCCTCGATTGCCATACAGACATGGGTGCGAAACAACGACAAGACCAAGGCACGGGCAGAGGAACGAGAGAAGAATATAGGGTGGATAAAGCGCCTGTTCACGGCATGGAGGGTGAGCCACACCGAACGTACCGAGCGAAGGGCCGAGCGGAAGGAGGACGGGGAAGATGACTCAGAGGAGGACGAACCAGTGGAAATTCAGTTGTCAGATGTCACGATGCATCCGAAGGGGACTCCAGCGCCGGCATCATCCGTCGAGGCACGAGTGTTCGAAGAGAGAGTGGACCTGAGCAACAACATGACCTGGAGGCAAATGATCGGAGTGGGAGTCAGAAATGTGGTCCTTGCGCGAGGGGAGCTCGATAGACTCGAGGGGCCAGGATACGCCGCGAGGAGGACGGAGTTGCGCCGAAAGGCGAAAGAAGCCGCGAGAACAAGGGACCGGCAGGCGGCGGCGTCGCAGGACGAGGCAGAAGAGAACGACGCAACAGAGGAGGAAGTGACAAGGGAGAGAACGACGAGAGTGGGACGGCCGCGAGGTGGCATGAAGGTTGCAGCGAGAAGCGGCGAGAGACTGCGAAAAGAGATACGAAGAGGCAGACTCCCCAGGGTGGGCGACGGCTAGCGCATCACACTCTCCTCTCCTTAAAATCCCTGTGTGGTGGCGGCGTGCCGTTCTCCCATCCCTCCCTTGGGTTGTGTGTTTTCTTTCTTTCTTTCTTTACTGGCACTAATTGTGTCAGTGTGCCTGTGGTAGGAGAGACTGCCAGCGACAAGCTGGAGGCAGGTCGCTAGACTGAGATGAGACCGCCAGTGGATGTGGGAGTCCACCGCGCACCGCGCTGCGAGCCTGTCGTGTCCCTTGTCAGGAGCAGGAGAGCCAAACAAAACAACGTGCGGGAGAGCCCCACCTGTCCCCCTGATCGTCCTTCCAAAATCCTGCTCGTGCAGGTGGGGACCCTGTCCTCGTCCCATCCCTCGTTTGGCGTGTCTGTTTTCTTTCTTTTTTCTTTTACTGGCACTAACGCAGGTACACCACGGGAGCCGCCTAAGCGACTCCTGCGAGGGAAAAGAATTTTAGAACAAAAGTTGGGCGCACGACACGATTCACGGCTAGCGCATCACACAGTAATTCCGAGAAAATCCTTAACAAGCTGCGGTATTTTCATGTGAATTCTTTTTCTTCGTGGAGGTAAAATTCTTTTCCTGGCGATGTCCAATTTGTCGCGCCGCCGCTCGCGCCGCCTCGCCTCGGCCTCCGCCACCGCTCCCTCGCCAGCCACGCCGCCGCCCATAAGCCTCCTCGAGCTCCCCACGGAGCTCCTCGCGCGCGCCCTCTCTCGCTGCGACCCCGCCGACATCGCTCGCGCCGCGGCCGTCTCGCTCCTCTTCCACGCCTCGCTAGCGGTAGAGGGCATCCGCTTATGGGCGCGAGAGCGCGGCTGCCGGCGCAGCCAGAGGGCGAGAGCTGCGCCGTGCGATGGCTGTGCTATTCGGCGCTGCTGTGCGAGGCCAACCCGCCGGCGAGGGCGGCGGCAGATCGTCAGCACAGCCTCTTCATCGACGGCGAGGGGCGGCTCTCGACGTGCGGCTCAGCGCCGTCTTATAATCCCGAGTTGCTCGGGCACGGCGAGGGCGTGACGCGGCTCAGCACGCCGACCCTCCTCCCGTCGGCGCTGGGCGGCGAGCGCGCCGTGAGCGTGTCGGCTGCAGCGCAGCACAGCCTCGCCCTCGCCGCTGATGGCTGTGTCTGGAGCTGGGGCGAAGGACATGCTGGCAAGCTGGGCCACGGCGACCAGCAGTTCCAGCTGCTGCCTAAGAAGATCGAGGCCTTCGCAGGGCGGCGCGTCGCCGTTGTGTCGGCTGGATTCGCGCACAGCCTCGCCCTTTCCACCGACGGCGCCGTCTGGAGCTGGGGCGGTGGAGTCTTTGGCAAGCTGGGCCACGGCGACGAGGAGCGGCAGCTTCAGCCAAAGAAGGTCGAGGCCTTGGCGGGCCAGCGCGTCATCGCCGTGTCGGCTGGAGGCATGCACAGCCTCGCCATCACCGCCGACGGCTCTGTCTGGAGCTGGGGCCGTGGAAGCCAGCATGGCCACGGCGACGAGCAGCACCAGCAGCTGCTGCCGAAGAAGGTCGAGGCCTTTGCTGAGCAGCACGTCGTCGCTGTGTCGGCTGGAGATTTCCACAGCCTCACCCTCACTGCCGACGGCAGTGTCTGGAGCTGGGGCGGAGGAGTGAACGGCCAGTTGGGCCACGGCGACGAGCAGAACCAGCTGCTGCCACAAAAGGTCGAGGCATTGGCGGGGCAGCGCGTTGTCGTTGTGTCGGCTGGACTCGCGCACAGCCTCGCCATCACCGCCGACGGCGCCGTCTGGAGCTGGGGCAGTGGACTCTTTGGCAAACTGGGCCACGGCGACGAGCAGGACCAGCTGCTGCCCACGAAGGTCGAGGCCTTTGTGGGGCGGCGCGTCATCGCTGTGTCGGCTGGAGGCATGCACAGCCTCACCCTCACCGCCGACGGGGCTGTCTTTGCCTGGGGCAAGGGCGAGGACGGCTGCCTAGGCCACGGAGAGGACCTGTCGAACCAGCTGCTGCCCAAGAAGGTTGAGGCGTGGCCTGCATCCTCTTGACTCTCAGACCATCGCCCGGCGGTTACAGAAGCGAGAAGGCGGGCCGCGGCGCGGCGCGCACAGGAAACGGGCGCTGAGTAGGAGAGAATGCACCCACATGTACAAGCTTCTGTGAGGATTGGGGTATTGGGGGTTGTCATAAGTGTGAGCGGAGCACTTGGAGCAGTTGGAGTGCAGTTTTTTTCTCACTTGGAGCCCATTATTAGATTTTTTTCTGCCGGCTCTGCGATCTGGGGCTTCCCCATTTCTTTTTTTCCTTTCTTTTTGGGGGCCCTGTGGGCACCCTACGCAACCAACCCCGCCGGCAGCGCGAGCTACCGGCCACATTGAGCGGTTCGTCCGCGTCGCGCACTCGTCCCAACCGGGGGCCGCAGACTCGTTCTGCGCGCCAACGGCTGGTAAGGTAAGGTAAGGTAAACGTCTCCACACACACAAAGTGGTGGGGCAAGGGGGGGCGACCCTCGCATCTCCACGCCCGGGACACGGGCAGGAGCCCCACGGCATTCAAAGTGCAAGCACCGGCCCGGTGCCGTGGGTGAGCAACCTGCACCCCACTCCCTCCCTCCCAGACACAACCCGCACACAATCCCCACAGCGTGGTCGTCTACGTGTTCAGAAACACCAAGCAGCGAGGCGAGGGTGAAGGGGTAAGGGGCTGTGTGGGGCAGAATCTTCATCCGGCTTATCTGTGACTACTCCATCTAGCCTGGGGGGTCGCAGGAGGGGGGGGCAGAAGGTGTTCCCGGGCATTCACACTATATTCCTCTGAGATAATACTATATTTCGCCGCCACCGCGGCGCGCGCGCTTAGGCCGCATCAATTTTGCCTCGCCGGAACGGCTCGTAGAGCTCGCTAGCGAGCCAGTCCCGGGCAACCTTCGTCGCCACGGAGCCCATAGGGACCGTGGCGTACACCATGTCGCCGAACCCGCTTCCCCCCTCGGGAGGGAGCGAGTAGGCGACCTGAATCTTGGACCCGGTGGGCAGGGGATGCGCGCCGCCTGCGCCGCAGCCTCCAGGCCCTCCATCACGAACATGGCGTTCTCGCGCAGCTGCGCGTACGGGTAGCCCGCACGCTCGGCCTCGCTCGCAGCCGCCGCCGCCGCAGCCTTCTCCGCCTTGTTCTTCTTCTGCCGGGCCTTTTTGGCCCTGCGAGCCGCGGCCCGCGCCGCCTGCACAGACTCGCGGTCGCCCGCGGCCTTCTCGTGCTTCAGGTGCGTCGACCTCGATGGTCGCGTAGCCAGGCCTTATCAGCCTGACCTGCGACGCACCTGCGAGCCTTGCGACCATCACCGCGTCTTGCAGTTGCGCGCGATCGTAGCTATTCCAGGGTCCGCTGCGCATCCCCGGCGGCACGACGGTGGCCGGCGCTTGCGCACCAGCCCCGTCCGCCATGGAGAACGGCGCGCCATGGAGAACGGCGGGCCCGATGGCGTGGGAGCCTGCGACGCTGTGTTGCCCTTGAGCTAGTCCTTCCCCGGTCGCCTAGCCTCTGCGCTGTCTGGCGAACGCCTGTATGCCATGCGCAGCAGCAGTCTGCTGCAGCCCCAATACATAGGTTTTTTAATGACCATCATTACTGCCGGGGGCACGAGCCGCCACAGCGCCGGTAGAGCCGTATGTGGCCGTGCAAGATTAAGTGCCACTCAGTGAAATGGAACTAGCTACTCTCTGTTGATGACAAGACTTGTCTACTCGCTGGAGCCGAGCAGGAGGGCCCAGCGCACAACCCCTTTGCAACTCAGGGTCCAAACCCCGTATGTACGGCCGCATGGAGTACATGGACATGGCATCCGCCCCTCGCCGCGCCGAAGCCCCCGCGAGGCTGAGCGGGCCACACTCTACTCTTTGCCCGGCTCGGCCTGCCTTCCGGCCCTCCCTAGCATCCCCGCGTCGAGCAGCGCGCACTGGCAGTCGCACCCGGCAACCGGGCAGACGGTGTGGCGCGCGAACCACTGCTCCACATGCAGCGCGTGCCCGCCGTGCCGGCAGCTCTGGCACCAGACCATCCACCGGCCCAGACCTGAGCTCGGCGCGGTGCCATCCGCGTCCTCCGCTGCCGCGGGCAGTGGCGCGGCCGAGCCCGCCTCGGGCAGGTCGGCGGGGTTCGGGCAGCCGAGGTGGCCGAGGCAGAGCGCGCACCTCGGCAGCGCCTTCTTGCAGGCCGGGCACGCAGACGCGCGCGCCGCTAGCCGCGCCGCCGCCGGGCCCGGTGCAATTCCGCCGCCGCGCTTCGGGGCGGCGCGGGCGGCCTGCCCGCCTCCCGTCTGGAGCGACGCGTTGCAAAACGCACAACGCGCGAACACCTGGCTCGCCGGCTCTCCGACCCTCCGCTCGCCTGCTCACGGGACGGACACGCGTGAACAGCGCCCTGGACGTGGCTTGGCCGGCCCTCGGCGGGCGCGTCGGCTCGCCCTCGGCGCTGCGCGCGCGCGCGGCGGCAATGTCGAGCCGGCAGCGGGCGTGGTAGAGCTGCCACCGGTTGAGCATTCGTCGGTACGTGTCGAGCCAGTGGCGCGGCAGCGGGAGGGAGAGGACGCCCTTCGGCGCGGAGAGCAGCAGCGCCGCGGCGGTCTGCACGTCCGAGCTGCGGTCGATGTACGACTGGAGCAGCGGGAACGCGTGCTCGCCCAGCCCACAGAAGCAGAGCCCGCCCAGCCAGCCGCGTGCCTGTTCACAACCCCCGCGTGCGGCGTGAGCCCGCCTCGTTTTCTTGTTTTGAGCCCGCCGAGCCCGCCACGCGCCTCGGAGCGGGCGGCGGCCGAGGCGAAGAGCGTGCCGAGCCTACGGCGAATCGCCGATTGCATCAGGGTTCTGGCGAGTCCAGCACAAGCAATCTTGCCGTGTCTAGTCGACCACCACACCCCACTGCTAACAGCTGCCATCATTTGCAACCGCCACCTGCCGCCACCTGCTGTCACCATTGCCGCCGCCATTGCGCGCCGCCTTTCCACCACTACTGCCGCCACTCGTGTCCACCGTTGACACCACTGCGACTCCTCTCGGGTGCTAATTGGAGTCGGAGCTCGTTTTCACGGGTCTCCACATCTAGGGCGCGTCGCCTCTCGTCGGAGAGAAAACGGCAGGCAAAGGCGGTCGAGTCTGCTAGTGAGAGCGCCGCCTCGCCGCCGCCGCCGCCCTCGCCGCCGCCGCCGCCGCCGCCACCCTCGCCGCCGCCCTCGACACGCGCCCCGCTTGCTCCCGCGCCCGCACCTCTGCTCGAAGCGCCACGAGAGGCCTCGGCGGATAGGCCGGCGGGCGAAGAAACGGGGAGAGGGGCGGAGAGGGCAGTGGCGACGGCGGCAGTGGCGGCAGCGGTGGCTGGAGCGGCTGGAGCGGCGCCAGCCAGGGGCGGGTCCGCAAACAGCGCGTCGAGCAGCTCGCCGAGACCGTCGAGGCCGCCGGCGGGCGTCTCGCGCGGCTCTTGCTCGGCCTCGGTGCAGAGACAGAGGGTGGCGAGCAGCAGGCGCAAGTGCGGCGAGGCGACGCGGCGGGCGGTCGACTGCACCGTCGCGGACCAGAGCACGGATCGCGTCTGGAAGCCCGCCAGCACCTGGTAACTCAGGGTAGGCGAGCATTGAGGGTTGAGAGTGGGCCGGAGAGACCGCAGCAAGTCTTGGCGAAGGAATGAATCTCCCCACATCTCCCCACATCTCCCCACATCTCCCCATATCGCGCCTAGGAATAGATCGCGAGTCATTGACTTTCGACGAGCGGGGTGGTGCGCGGCATGACGGCGAGCGCGCCATCGCGATCATCCTCAGGTCGACGGCCCGGCGGGGTGGCAAGCCCGGGTGGGCGCCGCCCCGCTCCAGCGCCTTGAGAGGCAAGGCAAGGTCCAGTTCTCCACACACACAAGGTAGAGGGGGAAGGGGGGGCGACCCTCGCGTCTCCACGTCTAGACGCAGACAGCAGCCCCACGGCATTCAGAGTGCAAGGCCCGGTGCGCGTGGGCGAGCGGGGTGTGTGTGTGTGTCGTGTGTGTCTCTCTGTGCGTGTGCGCGTGCGTGCGTGCGTGGGCCTTGACGGCGCGCTCGAGCTCGCGGTACGACTCGCACGCGCCGGCGTGGAAGAGGGCGACGAGCGCCGCCCGCTCGAACTGCAGCGCCGCCTCGTACGCGGTGAGCGCCTCCTCCAGCGCCTGCAAGAAAGGCTCCGGGAAACGTCTCGGACATTGTCCAGGGAGCAAGATGTGCGCGGGCGCCTCCTCCGGCGCCTCGGGGTCGCGCATCACCGGCCAGCCGCAGCAGCGCAGGATGGCGTTGCGCGCGGAGGACTCGAAACGGAGCAGCGAGGAGGAGCACTCGGCGGCCACCGCGGGGGCGCTGTCCGCGAGCAACTGCGCGAACCCGCACAGCAGCGGCGGCGCGCCCGGCACCGACGCCTGCGACGCCGCGGAGTGGACGAACCGCCACGCCTCGTAGAGCTCTCGCCGCTCCCTCGGCGAAGTGACGGCCGCGGCGGCGCCTCGCTCCTCGAAGAGCCGCAGCGCGCTCTGCGCGTCGAGGCCGTACCCCGCCTATGCATGGAGAGCGACGCGCCACTCATCAACAGCTAACAGCTCCGCTCTGCGTCGAGGCCGTGCCCCGCCTCAGCGCGCCACCGCATCGCATCGAGCACATCCGCGGCGAAACAGTCCCCGCCGTCCCCGCCTCCCCCGCCGCCCCCGCCACCCCCGCCGCCCCGCCCGAACGGCAGCCCGCGCAGCCGGCCGCCGCGTGCCGCCGGGCGACGCGTCGCGCCAAAGGCGAGCATGCCGGAGGGGAGGGCGACGAGGAGCGAGCCGCGAGGCGACCACGAGAGCGGCGAGAGGGAGGAGAGGCGCACCTGCTCGCAGCAGGCCATTCATGAATATTGAGTAATGCACTCGTTCGTTGACACTGACTCAAGTTGGACACTCCAGCTGGCAGGCCCCTCACATCTCCCCCTCTCTCCCCATCTCTCCCCATCTCTCAAGCTGGCGCGCCTCTCGCAGCAGGCCGTCGGGGGCGGCGCGGCGAACGAGGACCAGCAGCCTGGCGTGCCTACGTGCTAAGTACGCCAACCTCGGGGCGGGAAGGGCGGGTCGTCTGGGGGGAGATATGGGGGAGATATGGGGGAGATATGGGGGAGATATGGGGGAGATATGGGGAGATATGGGGGAAGGGCGATCGCCTGCAGAGCCAGAGCACCGCGTGAGTACGAGGGGCTGCGACGACAAGGGAGTGCGGCGGAGGACGGCCAAACACAAGCGGAGTCCGTGCGCCCTCTCGACGCGCCGGGTGGGGTGCGAGAATGTTACAGACCGCGCACTCCGCATCTACCCTCGCGTGCTCGGTCGGGTGGATATCTCCCCATATCTCCCCATATCTCCCCATATCTCCGCATCTATCCTCGCGTGCTCGGTCGGGTGGAGATATGGGGGAGATATGGGGAGATATGGGGAGATATGGGGAGATATGGGGAGATAGCATCTACCCTCGCGTGCTGGGTCGGGTGGATATCTCCCCATATCTCCCCATATCTCCCCATATCTCCGCATCTACCCTCGCGTGCTCGGTCGGGTGGAGATATGGGGGAGATATGGGGAGATATGGGGAGATATGGGGAGATATGGGGAGATCGCATCTACCCTCGCGTGCTCGGTCGGGTGGAAGGCGAACGTGGCGAGGGGCGCCTCGGGCTCGTACAGCTGCAGGCAGTGCGGCGCGTCGGAGGCGGAGAGGGCGAGCGTCGCGGCGGAGGGGAGGCTGTAGTCGGCGACGGCGGCGGCGCGCTCGGCGGCGGACGGGCGCTGCCACGTGTCGGCGCTCGGGGTGAGCTGCGCGGGCAGCAGCAGAGGGGGCAGCGGCCCGGCGGCGTCGAGGTGGACCTATTCACAGCTCGAGGTGTGAAGGGTCGCTGCTCACATCAGAGGGGGGCAGCGGCCCGGCGGCGGCGACGTGCACCGCCGCCGCCGGCTGCGCGGGCGACGCCGGCGGTGCCTTCGGCGGCGCCTTTGGCGGGAGATATGGGGAGATATGCGGAGAAATGCCGGTGCCTTTGGCGGGAGATAGGGGGAGATATGGCGGGAGGTATGGGGAGATACGGGGAGATGCGGCGGTGCCTTTGGCGGGAGCGCGTGCGCCAGCTCCTGCTCCCGCGCCACCGCCGCCGGCGGCTGCGGCGGCTGCGACGCGGCGGGCGGCGGCGGCGGCGCGGGCTGCTGCTGCTGCTGCTGCTGCTGCAGCTGCTGCCGCTTGGTGAGAAGCATCTGGTCGATGTCCCAGAGGCAGAGTCCGGCGGCGCCCTCGCAGATCGTCCCGACGAGCCCGCGCTGCGTCGCGCACCAGCCAACCTGGAGGAGGCCTCGGCTCTGCGCCGCCCGCCCGCCCGCCCGCCCGCTGCTCGCCGCGTCGGCGGCAGAGAGGGTGAAGAGTGGAGAGCCGTGCGCAAGCCGGCGCAGGTCCCACCTGTTGCGGGAGAGTGCGGGAGATTGCGGGAGATTGCGGGAGATTGCGGGAGATCGCGGCCGGCGCAGGTCCCACCCCTTGACGAGGCCGGTGGGCGTATCGGACGCGTCGGAGAAGGTGAGAAGGCGGTGCGGGTCGAAGCTGTCGAACACGACGCCGTACACGGCCTGTGGGGAGATATGGGGAGATATGGGGAGGTGCGGGGAGGTGCGGGGATCTCCCCAGATCTCGCCTTTTGGTGCGCGTGGCACGCGAGCTGCTCGTCGCGCGCCCGCGCGTCAAAGAGGCGGAGCCAGCGGAAGGACGTGCCGACGAGCAGCGAATGCGGCGAGAGCGGCAGCCACGAGGCGGCGACAGCGGCCTCGGAGTTGGCGAGCGGCGCAAACGCGTGCGCCTGTTGCGGGAGGCTGGGGGAGGTCGCGGGCGGTTGCGGCAGAGGGTGCGGCAGGCCGCGGGAGATTGCGCGAGATTGCCGAAGGGACTGTCCGCACAGCGGAAGCGGTCGATATGTCGTACCCGATGGAGTGGGAGCCGCCGCCGCCGCCGCTAACGCCGCCGCCCGCCGCGCCGCCCGCCGCGCCGCCCGCCGCGCCGCCGCGGCTGGCCCGCGGGCTTCCCGAGCGGCACGACTCGCCGACGCCGCCGCACGGCCACGCACCGGCCGCGCCTCCGCCTATGAATTCACAGCTCCATCACTCCTCGGTGATGCTGACGCCGCCGCACGGCCACGCACCGGCCGCGCCTCCGCCGCCGCCGCCTCCGCCTCCGCCGCCGCCTCCGCCGCCACCGCCGCCTCCGCCTCCCTGCGGCGTGCGGCTGAGTGCCGGCTCAAAGGCGGTTGCGTCGCGCTCCACGTCCCACACGAGCACGCCTGTTCACCGCTGCAGGTGTGAAGAGACGCTGTTCACAGCTGCTCTCTGAACACGTCCCACACGAGCACGCCTGTTCACAGCTGCAGGTGTGAAGAGACGCTGTTCACAGCTGCTCTCTGAACACGTCCCACACGAGCACGCCGTAGTCGCGCCGGTCGCGATCGAGCCCGGCGGCGATGAGCTGTGGAAACGCGGGGTTCCAGGCGAGAGAAAAGCAGACGCGCTGCTGGCGAGGCACAAACTCGCGCACCTAGAGCGTTGCGGCCACTCCCCGACTCAGAGTCGCTGAGCACGCACCGCTGCTGCCGAGGCAAGACACACACACGCCGCGCACCTATTCGGCAGCGAGTTAGCCGGCGAGTCACGGCCGACTAGCGGAGACGCCGTCTCGAGCGCTGCCGCCCGAGGCGACACGCGGGCGCACCGGCGGCGCCTCCGCCGCCGCGGCGCTGCGCGGCGTGCACTCGTGCAGAACCATCCGGCCGGTGGCGGTGCCGATGGCGATCGTGAGAGGCTGGTCGGCCCGAGGGCTCCAAGTGGCGCAGGTGAGCTGCGAGACGTCGCTCACAGACGAGACAGGGCGCACGCTCTGCTCGCTCCGACGCGGCGCGAGGCTCTCCAGGCCGACGCTGTCGTCTGCAGGCGCGCCTGCGGACAGGCGGGCGGCGACTTCTGCTGGCGCGAGGCGGTGCAGGAGCGAGGGGCGCTGTGGGCGATGAGCGCGGCTGGGCGTGCGGCGAGGGTGGTCGCAAGGGGGTGGGAGGCGCGAGCAGTGATTGCGTGACCGCGGACCGTCAAACTCGACCTCGTCTCCGGCCGCAGGCCCGTGCTGGAAGGCGTAGATGGAGAGCTTGTCGGAGGTTCCGATGGCGAACTGTCCCGCCGCGTGCGGCGACCACAGGAGCGTGGGCTTCTGCTCGCGCGAAGACCTCATGGCTTCGAAGGCAGCGGCGCGCAACACACCGCGGGCCGGGCGTGCTCAAGCCGTGCCTCGGAGTCAAGAGAGAGGCGTTCGGCGGCGGCTTCTCGAGAGCGCACCGACGCCGGCGAGGGCGAATAAAGAATTCTAACACTAGTGTGTGTGTGTGAGTGTGTGAGTGTCACACACACACTCACACTCACTCACTCCCTTAAAGAGTAATGATCCGTCGTGGAGCGATGTGCTCGACCGATTCATTGAATACAGCAGGGAAGTAAACGGGGTGTGCACAAGCGCACCCAACATGACAGAACACACGCTTTCACAGCACGCTGGCACTCCCTAGGAGAGAGAGAGAGAAGCTATTCATGGAGGCAACCGATGCGAGTCGACTGGTGTGTGTCGTCGTGGTTTCGTATCAAGAATTCTCTCTCTCACTCCCTAGGGTGGGCGACGGCTAGCGCATCACACACCTCTCCTTAAAATCCCTGTGTGGTGGCGGCGTGCCGTCCTCCCATCCCTCCCTTGGCTTGTCTGTTTTCTTTCTTTCTTTTACGCTGGCATCCCTTGAGCCTTGTCAGGACGAGCAGCAGAGCCCCACCTGTGCCCCTGATCGTCCTTCCAAAATCCTGTTCGTGCAGGTGTGGACCCTGTCCTCCTCCCATAAATAAAATAAATAAAACGGACACACCAAACAAGGGGTGGGAGAAGGACAGGGTCCCCACCTGCGCGAGCAGGATCTTGTAAGGACGATCAGGGACACAGGGGAACGGGAGCGGGGAGCGCATCGCGACACGGAGGGGGGCTGGGCAGGGTTCACCCACACACGACAGGGTCCCAGGGATTCCCCTCTCGTATAGGACAAAGTTGCACCCGGCGGCACGGGGGCAGGCGCGGGCCTCCTACTGGTTGCGCTCTCCTAGTTCTCCTGCTACTGACAAAAGGGACAGCGACAGGTTCGCAGCACGGTGGACTCCCTATTCCACTGGCAATCTCTCTCGACTAGCGACCTTCCTCCGGCATCTCACTGGCAGTCTCTCACTATCACGGGCACACTGACAGAGGGAGGCGGCCAAGGCTCACGCCGAGGGTGGCAGAGGCGGTGATAGGAGTCTCCCACTCTGTGGGCTTCGCTAGTGGTGCGGCCTACGCGTGTCCTCGCCCTTGCGGTCTTGAGAGGGAAGGGGAAGGGGCTGTGTGTCTGTGTATGTGTGTGTGTGTGCATGTACATGTATGTTGTGTGTGTGGGGGGGGGGGGGGTAGCCGTCACTTTCCTGCCTCGAAAGGGCGGGGCTGTCCCGGAAAGTGAGAAACGCCGGGCAGCGTGGCGCACAACTGAACCCTCCCATACGTGTTTGTTTCGGCCTCCTCCTTTGCTGTCCCATCTCCTCATCTCTTTCCCGCCTGGGCGGGGCAGTGGGCGGGCGCGCGGTGCGGTGTGGCGTGTGCGCGTGTGCGACTGCGACGAAGGACCGCTCGCAGGACCATCGGGCTTGTATTATTAACAACGAAGGCGCTCTCAAAAGAGAAAAAAGGAAAGGAAAACAGACAGGGTGCGAGAGGCAAACCTTGTTGAGCCCAAGCTGGCAAGATGCGCCGTCTCGGAATCCTCTTCTTTCTTTTGTTGTAAAATTCTTTTGTTCAATTCCTTTGCCCATGGGCTAAGTGCCAAGACAATTACGAAGCAATTGCGGTCGTTTGCTGTGTGCCGAGTTGCAACGAACGCCCAAATCACGAAACTCGCCCAAAAGTCGCGCGCGCGAAGAACACCGCCGCGTCAGACGGTGCGCCCGCCAGCGCGCCCGCTCGCCTCCAGCGCCAGCCCGAAAGAGCAGCGCTCTTGCACAGAGACGCCACTGCACCCCTCCACCTCCTACACCGAAGCTCTCTGAGCGGGCTGCGCCCACGTTGCAGACAGACGCCAGCCCCGGCGCGCACAGCCCACGACGACCTCTCCTCCATGCAGGTGCAATGTTGCTCTTCGAGGGTAAGGGCCGCACGTCGTGGCTCAAGCGAGTTGCCATCGCATTCCTCGGCCTTCTTGGGACGGTGAGCCGCGTCGACGCTTTTGCGTCGATAGAACCGTCTGTTTGCCTTGAAGGCTTTTTCGGGGAAGTTAGCGATGGCCCAAGGACGACGGTCATTGACATTGCCCAGACCGACTCGTCTCTCACGGCGATCGGATTGATGTCCTCGGACACGGGTTCGTTCGTCCCAGTGCTCCACTACTTCCCCACCCTCTCGGAAGACACTACCGTGATGCGTGGGGGGGTCGCCGGCCCAGGGAACGATGCGACCTGTGTGGCACCCGGCGGCGGCGGCCGCGGAGCCGCCCTGGCCGATTGTGCCACGTACGTGAAGACTGCCTACGACCCCGCATGTGATCTCACCCTCGATGCGGACGTTGAGGCTGCACTCATCATGGGCATGTTCGACGCCAGCAGCGGCTTGTTCACTACCGGCGGCACTTACATCCCTTGCGAGCAGCACGTCTTGACCCAGGAGCAGTACTGCTACTGCCCGGGCTATGAGGCGGCGAACGTGGCCGGGCCGTGCGAGTGAAAGTCTACTCACTCCCCGCGAGAGCCCTCGCTCACACGCCTAGAACAAAGAGAGAAAGCACACAGCCCCCCAACGGCCCGCAAGGGAGGGATGGGAGGACGGCACGCCGCCACCGCACACTCAGGGCTGCTGCGTGACGCGTGGCTCGGCTCCGGCCTCCGCGAACGCTTGTGAATTTTCTGTGATTTTCTGGTGCCAAAATCACTTGTTTGCAGGAGTTCGGGTACACACGAAACCTGCACGAAACGCGAGATGTGCCCCGGGGCTGCCCCACAAAACCTGGTATTTGTGGACCTCCCGCACCTTACCCTTACAGGCCACCATACGGGACCCCGTTGTCCGTTTGACACCAGACTTTTTTTGAGTTGGAGGTAATAATTAAATGGATTACACTGTCCCAAAGAACTGATTCATTCATTTAACCCTCACATAGTTACAATACCTCAAAGTTGAAAACCTCCAAAATAGGCCGTCAGGACTCTGTCAGGACTCCGTCAGGACTCTGTCAGGGGTCTGTCAGGACTCTGTCAGGACTGTCAGGAGAGTTGCGGGAGGTCCACAAACCAGGTTACAACCATTCATCAGCTCCCCTTATGCACGCATCTCTCTGAGCGCGCCGAGATGTACAGCAGAGGGGATACGGCGCGCGCAACTTGCGCCACGCGCACGCCGCACTGTGCGGGCCCCACCGCGCCTCTATTGCCCTCTGAGTGTCGCGCGCGGCTCAGTGTCCAGTCGCTAGCCAGACTGTGTCTTCGCCCCGCCATCTATCTATCGGCTCAGTCGAGCGGCACGGGTGCGCCCTCGTCGTCGGCCCCGCGAGTCACCGGAATGCCCGCGATCAGAGGTTGCGGCCCCACCAACTAAAAGAAATGCTGCCTCTGCCCTGCTCCCCAAGGGTCGCGTCTGTCGTTCCGTCCACGCGATTGCCTCGCTCGCTGCTCCGAGGCAGCTGCGAGGGGACGCGCGATGCTGGCGGCGGCTGCCCGGAGGCTCCGCCGTCCCTCCATTGTATCGGCGCGAGGGGCTTGATATACTCGATGCCAGACGACTCCATGTAGGCATGCACAAACCTGCTCACAGCTGTGAGGTCAAGAGGTCAAGTGGTCAAGAGGTCAAGAGGTCAAGAGAGAGAGAGAGAGAGAGAGAGAGAGAGAGAGAGAGAGAGAAAGAGAGAGAGAGAGAGAGAGAGAGAGAGAGAGAGAGAGAGAGAGAGAGAGAGAGAGAGAGAGAGAGAGAGCGGGGGGGGGGAACGTGGCGGGCGCGCGCGAACAGTAGCAGGGCGGAGCGAGCGCCATACACCGCATTGACGTCGGCCGGCGGGTGGCGGCAAGTGACCCAGAGGTTCAGGTTCATGTGCCCCTGCGCAAAGTCGGTGCTGGCGAACTGAGCCTATGTCCCGAGTGTCGCAGCAAATCACGGATCGTGGGCGGGGGGAGGGGGGGGGGGAAGCGCGCGCGAGAGAGAACGAGAGGGCGAGAGAGAGAGGGAGAGAGAGGGAGAGAGCACGCGAGAGCGAGATAAGTGCCTCGACGCCGCCCGGCAGCCAGTCGACGACGGCCTCGGCGCAATACTGCTGGACTGCGTCGACCAGTCCTGTCATCTGCGACGCTGGCGTCGACACCGGCACCTGCACTGGCACTCGCAAGCACGTGGCGGGCGAACGGCTGAGATTGACCACGCTCAACGTGCGGAGCCGCGTCGGTCGGCGCGCGCCGACGCCGACCATCACCACCGACCGACGGCTCGCACGGCCGTGCGGTGAGCAAAAATTTGGGTCGCTGCGCGCCTGCCGGATGCTCTGCGACGTCTGGACGCTCGCCAGAAACGCCAGGGAGCGCGTGGTTCTCGACCCGAGCAGCAGCTCGCAGCTCGCGGTGATGAAGTGCGTCCGGAGGCCGTCGATTTCGCGGACCAGCAGCGGGTACAGCACCGGGTCGCAGCCGGGCTGCGGTCTCCGATGTCAAAAGGCCGGGTGAACATGGCGTAGACGGCGCCCGAGAGGATGTCGGTGGGCGCGCGACCGAAGATGACCACCACCCCGCCGAGTACGGAGACGGACGGGATCAGCCAGAGCGCGATCCGCTCCCCCGACCACAGCACGCTGAAGGCGATGGCGACGGCGAGCGCCCACAGCCACCAGAGAGACGTGTACAGCAGCCTGTTGATGCGCGACGATGAGGCGACCGAGGCGGCGAGGAGCCGAGAGTCCTTGTAGAGGCGCTCGATGGCGGACACGAAGATGTCCTCGTTTAGCGACTCTTCTGTCGGCTGGAAGAGCTGCGCCTACGCGGTCCCGAAATGTCGGTCTCGAAAAGGCTCGCGAGCCCGCGGTTCACTTCACGTCTGCGGGCGAGGGGATGGGAGGCAGAGCGCCGCGCCTCGCCCGCCGAGACCCAGGAGGAGACGCGGCCGCTCGTCGAGGTCTGCGCCCAAGCGCTCGCCCACCGCAG